AATGATGTGTGTTGTGGATACTCTCATGCTGTATTTACAGTTATGGTAAAATGCAATGATCTCGATTGTGATTATTATTATTATTATTATTATTACGTTAATCCGCATATTGATTTTATTCATTGTGCTCTTGATAATGGCTTGACTCTGACGTGTGTTTTACTTTATGTACATTTAAATGTATTTATGTACAAAGAATATCACTCATACCCAACACATTCGCATCACTTAAATCATCGAGTTCATTGTTTCTCATCACCACGCTCTCTCATCATCACTCTTATATACAAGTAACTCATATCTTTGAACTCGAAGAGTAAAACATAACTCGAGCTTGGAGAGAGAATTTTTGTCGAGCTTGTTTCGTTAACGGTGTATAAAACTAGAACGGAACTGTTAGAGATGATGTTCAGGTAAAAAAGAAATGCTCTATGTAGAAAATAAAAAATGTTAAATTTCAATTATCTATCGGTCAAATGAGTGATCCTTAATACAATGATAATAGAAATTTGCAATTTTTTGTCTTCTTCATATTACACTTCGTTTTGTTTTCTTCTAATTTTCGTATAAACAACGTTAACGCACACCCAAGAAAAATTCTCTCTCCAAACCAGTGTTATATTTCACTCTTCTAGTTCAAAGCATAGCAATGTTATGCCTTATACATGTACGAGACACAATCACTATTTTCACACTTTAAACTTTTCTTGAGCGTTCATTCCAGCTTAGTTATGATTCCATATCGAAACTACTTGGACACATTACCTTCTTCCATACTATTATTGTCTTCTGGTCTTATTACGTACAAACTGGGGTCTATCACTTTTGGGATAGGTTTTATTTCTGTTCCAAGCTCTTGTTCGATACGATGTAAGTTAAAACGATCCTCATACGTGATTAGATTAATTGCTATACCTAAATGGCCAAACCTTCCTGATCGACCAATGCGATGCAGATATGTTTCTGCCATCTTGGGAAAGTCAAAGTTGATTACAACGTTAACAGCTTGTACGTCGATACCTCGAGTGAACAAATCGCTGCTCACCTAAAGAAAATGTTCAAATCTTTTATCATGTTTGTTTAAGCGTATAAAAGAATTTTTCTAAATTTCACATGCTTCTATATATTTCCTATTACTCGTTACAGGAGTACGATCATACTTTTACTTTTGCAATTTAATTCAAAGCGCGCAATACAAAGCTTACAAAATAATAATAAATTATTGTACGTGCATAGACTGTGTGTGTGTGTGTGTGTGTGTGCATATATTATATATATGTATGCTTATATTAGTTCGTTGTGACTTACCAGATTTCGACATAACCCTGCTCGAAAATCGTGGAATACACGATTCCTATGTGCCTGTGCCATTTTCGCATGTATATAATAACAGCAATATCCAAGATCTGTTATTTTCTTTGCCAGTAATTCTACACGTTGTGTCGAATTACAAAAGATTATGCTTTGTGTTATTTGCAACTAAGCAAAAGATAAAAGATAATTCGATGGTTAGATCAATGATATCTCTTTTGAGTTTTAATATCGAGTAAAATAATATATTACCTTCGAGAATAGCGTGTTAAGGCAGTGAACTTTCTGTCGTTCCTGTACAAAGGCATAATACTGCGTTACACCTTTTAATGTTAATTCTTCCATTAAATTAATTTCATATGGATCTCGCAAATGTTTTTCCATAAACTGTTTCACAGTTAATGGAAAGGTAGCTGAATACAGCAAAATCTGACGTTCGTGTGGCAATCTATATAAAATGAAACAAAATGAGCTTATTGATAATAATGACAAACCATCAAAATTTTATTCCAACTAATTCATTCTATAAGCATACTTAGAAATGACATGATCCAACATTCCTTTAAAATCTTGCGACAAAAGCTTATCTGCTTCATCCAAAACTAATATTTTGCAGTGATCCATGTTCGCAACGTTTTTGTCCATAAGATCAAGAATTCTTCCTGGCGTTGCTATTATTACTTGTACTGTAAGTTTACAAAATTAATTATAAAATATCTGTCAGATTATAATTATATGATGCAGCGCACGCGCGCGCGCGTGTGTGTGTGTGTACGCGCGCGCACGTGTAAATATAAAAACCTTTTTGATAAATCCTCATAATATCATCACGTAAATTGGTACCACCAGTAGTTACCATCACTTTAATATCCATATGTTTCGCAAGCTCGATACAGATTTGTGATGTTTGAAGAGCTAACTCTCTGGTAGGTACAATTACTAGCGCTTGAATTACATCTTTCCGAGGGTCAACCTGACATAACATATTTAATTACATTTAAATAAAAAATTATGCAACGAAAACAATTTTATTTAGCAACAACAATTAAAGAAACATTTTATACCTGTTCAAGCACTGGAATCGAATATGCTCCAGTCTTGCCAGTTCCATTTTTAGCTCGGGCCAAGATGTCTTTACCAGACAATGCAATAGGGATACTGGCTTCTTGAATTGGAGATGGTTTTTCCCAACCCTTTTCAAAAATACCCATTAGCAACTCTCGTTTCAGGCAAAATTCTTCAAACTCATTACCACGTGTGTCAGTGACATCCTACGATATATACACACGCACATATATATATATATATATATATATTAATTTGTTTGTATGCTATTCGTGTTATAAAAAAATAGCAAAGATATAAAAGCACATGCTCGTTTAAATTTCAATAATCACTTACACTCGTCTTTATGCGTTTATCCTTTGGTGGAATTTTTAGTTTAGCTTTCCAACCTACATCATCCATCTTTTCTAATTCTGTTTTCGTATTGAGAGCAGAATTGAGCATGTGGTTTGAGTTCATATGCGTTTCGGTTATCATCTTGGAAGCGACGTAATGCAACTACTTCCTACAGAAATAAAAATAAAAATATAATTCATCTAATTCAAATTTCATTAATAATATATCTTAAAAATTTTGAATAGATTATTAGAGAGTCAACTAATCATGTCTCGCGCATATTATTCAATAACAAAAGTATATAACAAGTCTTGCCGATATAACACAATTAGTCTATGAGAGAAAAACGGAAAGTAAAGGGGGAAGGGGTGGTTGGAACGGAGGGAAAAAAAAGGTAAACAGAGAAGACCTCTGACTAATAGAAACTACTCTAATGTACATAGAGTGCTTCTAATCTATATTTACTTCAATATTCCTGTAGCAGTGTTTTTATGTGTTTAGATCTTAACGATGTATATATTGTTATGTACGTACTGCAAAGTCGTTATATTTGAATCAAATACAAATCCATATATGTATGTATATATTGGAACACTGTAATTAAAAGTATATTTATAAGTATTATAGATAATATAAAACTTAATAGTTTTATTAATGAGATATATATAACAGATCACCATTATTATTATTAATATAAACAAAATGGCTAGCGAAAATTCATCTAAATTTATCCCAAACGTGTAGCAAGAATGCCGATAGATAGTTCCGATAATATACGGAAATCTTTTTCTTCTGGACCGGATTAACGCACATTACACACGTACCACACAACACAACTTTAACATACCTCACATCAATTTACCGTACTTCACACATATTAACTCGATTAAACCGCGAACTTTAACGAATGAAATTTTCGAAAGTAGTACGTACACACATCGAAGCATAGAGACAGATTTACATAGTAACAAACGAATTTCAATTCGTACTTATATTTTCTTATATATATATATATATATATATATATATATATATATATATATATAACAAAAAAAAGAAGAGAGGGGAAGAGGGAGAAGAGAAAAGGAAAAGATAAAAAAAAAGTTTTATCCAAGTACTATCGACGAAAGAAAGAAAGAAAGAAAGACGAAGGACATTTGTACTTGAAATATTCTCTGAACAAAAGAAAGAAAGAGGAAAAAAAGAAAGCGAAAAAAAAGAAAGAAAAGGGGAAGAACGATACACCTTTCGTTTGAAGGGAAGGGAGAGAGAGAGGAGGGGAGGGAGAGAGAGAGAGCTTGTAAATTCTAAAAACATACGTTACTGTTAATCGCTCATATTAAATGTAGAAAAAAAAGAACGATAATGACGACAATTCTGTGAAGAAAATATTGGAATTACCGAAATACTTACGGTTAACGTGTCTCTTACCTTGAAATGGATGGATATCGATGCTGTGCGCAGCACTCGATTAGGAAACAACACGCCAAAATGGCCGTTCCAATGTCAAGTTTTTACAGAGTCTCTTAGCAGTACGTTGAAATATAGCCGCGTTATTTTCTTTATATCTTCGAATTGTCCGCGATTTTAATATTCGGTATACGTTTTTCTCGCGTTTTAATTATATCTTCGCACACTATCCAATCCTCTTTACAATTTCTAATTTACAACTAACGCACTGCGTCAAATGCTGACGATTATTACTTCGCTTAAATCTTACACGACGTACGCCATGAGAGAAGAAATTTTACTCAGAAACGAAATCCTGAAGGCTTTTCCTACGATACATATACTATATCTTTCGTTATAGATGGCGCCATTGCTGCAACGCCGATCTTAACGCCGTCTTTTCAGGTTTAGCGTCTCGATCGATACTCTCTTCTGATTGGTCGATTATTAACAGGAAGAATATGAATCATTTCAATTACTTTGTTTTTCATTTATTAAGAAATTATTTAGAACTTATTAATTTACTTATTTTGTTTTTAATTAATTAATTAATTAATTATTTTTTGCAGTGAAATACATTTTCGTAAAAAGTTGTTTAATTCTATCAGCTTATTTGTTACTCATTTACGGTTGGTCGATTGATAAAAGTAAGGAAGGAACATATGTACTTTTAAATTCACTTTTTCATTTTATTTTTAATTAATTAATTAATTATTATTTACAACGAAATCATTTTTTTCTTAAGAATTTAAATTTTTAATTTAAAGAATTTCTAATGTATCCCTCATGGGATACATTAAGTAATAATAATTATGACTTTTCTTTTTTTTTTTTTTTTTTCGTTTTTTTTTTTCCCCTTTAAATAAGTAGCTGATTTGATTTCTTTTCAAGATCACTGAGCATGCGCATATGTTATAGTTCAAAACGTATCAAGAGTATCTTGCCAACTTTACATCAACAAATTCGATAAAATGAATAACAATTCTTTTTAACATTTACCCGAATAAAATCTAAAATCAACTGATGATTATTTATTGATATGATAGAAGAAAAGAAAAAGAAAATAATAAAGATTATAACTTATTCGTACGTAACCTTTTATACGATGTTGAATTCAAAGATGTTCAAAGATGTCTTGTAAGAAATATTTTTAAACATTTTCAACGAATCTTTTAATTACATTGTTCTCTTCTCTGGGATATTCGATATTTTCGACAAGCTTCGGGACAATGACGTTCTAAATATCGCCTTTGCGAAAATGCTTTAAAACATACTCCACAACGCCATTGCCATTGATGATGATTTCTTGTTCTTTGATGAGCTCGTAAATTCGATCTAAAAAGAAAAAGCCGAAAAAAAAGAATTGAAAAAAAATAATGGAAAAATTAATTAATCTAAAGTTATTACCGATCGGCAAAAGATTTATGACAAACAGGACACTCGAATGGCCGTTCTCCGGTATGAAGTCTCAAATGTCCTTTTAAAACCCATGGCCTGTCGAAACATTTCCGACAATATGGACAATAATGCATCGTTTTATTTCTCTTCCAATTTTGATTACTTTCAATCTCTGATACCATTTTATCTTCCTTATTTGATTTCTTTGTCGTCGTCGTCGTCGTCGTCGTCGTCGTTGTCATCATCGTCATTGTTGTCGTCATTGTCGTCATTGTCGTTGTTGTCATCGTCGTCGTCGTCGTCGTCGTCGTCGTCGTCGTCGTGGTCGTAGTCGTCGTTGTCGTCGTCGCTGTAGTCGAAGTAGCTGTTAGATACGAAGTTTGTGGTATCGTTTGAATTTCCCGGCCTTCCAAGTTACCGGAAATCTTCACGTTCTGACGAATAAATTCTTCGTCGTTCGTCGGTTGGTACGGCGTAAATTTTGATTCGTGAGTATCCAATGGTACAGTTTGAATCTCTGTTCGATCTAACGAAGTATATAATACAAAATTAGAAAATAAATTAAAGAAACAAAGAGAAAATATGAAATTTATTGAATATTAAGATAAAAACATTTTTAAAAATATTACCTTCATTAAGATTAATATGATAGGAAGAATCGTGTTCGATTGGAAACATTTCATTCTTGAAGAATATATTTCCACGTGAATTGGACTCATCCAAAGGTTTCAATTTCCATAATAAATCATTATTCTTCTTAAATGTATATCGCGTTACTATGGGAAGTCCGGAACACATCCAAACATTGTTGGTAGAAATGGCATTAACTTCTTGCGTTCGTTTTTGTCGTTTGGAATCCACCGATGGTGGGATCCAAGTTAAATCTGTATCTTCTGAAGATAAGTCTTAATTAATAAATAATTATTAATTAATTATTAATAGCAATTATATAGTAAATGTAGAAAACGATACACCAAAATATTTACTCTCTAAATGATTTATATACAATGAACGTTAGCCTAAAATACAGTGTATGCATTGTATATACATACGCATACGCTCTCTGTGTGTGTACACGTTGTGTGTGTATATATATATATATATATATATACACATACACATAACGTCAAAAAAATACAAAAAGAGAAAAAAATTAGAAATACCTTCGTGACGATCTTGAGTCTTCTGATATCTCGCCATTGACCTTATCAAGCATCTTGGCATATTATTGTGATACGAGTATACTTGCTAGCAAAGTACGAACGATATAGATGACAAACGTGTACATACACAATATGGCCAGTAAAACTTCTTTGTGCCACCGTAGGCATTTGTTTATTTTTTTCTTTTCTTTCTTTCTTTCTTCTAAGTCAGTAACGTAATAAGAAGAAAGTGTTGCCAGATATTTTACTTGTTTTTGTTTTTTTCTTTTCTTTAGATTCTAAATTTTCACATATTTATAGTATTGTTTCTTTTTTTATTAATAATTATTTATTAAGTATTCACATGATTTGATATTTTATATATCTAAAGAAATGATTAATATTTATATTAGTCGTTATTTAATATTGATATCAATAATTATTCTTATTAGAAGTGTTTTTGAATAGAAAATTTCGTTAAGTTGGATTTTTTTTCCAATAATTATCAAGTATTTACTAATTTTTTGTGTTGAAGTTCAACGATAGATCAGCAAGGATTTCTATTTACATAGATGAACTTGGTATATATATATATCCACATATCCTTAAATACATATATATATGTGTGTGTATGTATGCATATATATATATATATATACACACACACACAATGTACATACATAAGGCTATATTTTCAGATACACTGTCAATGTCGACCCTTAACGTTTTGATAACCGTCATGAGACACAAAGACAGGATGTGTATAATTTAAGTTGATCAGTCCATCAGTATCGGCCGGACGTGCTTACAGATTGTACGCTTCTATCGTTTAGAATTCTACTCATTGATTCAAATTACTCGATTCAAATACTCTTTCGTATATATATATATATATATATATATAAATATATATATATATATATTTATACATATATATATATATACACACACACACACATACACAAATTCATTAATGTAAGTATTCAACTCATTTAATTTTTATTAAATAGATTATTTATTATTTTATAAATTTCACTGTAAATTTATTAATTTATTAATTTATGTGTGTATATATGTATAATGATAATATTTTAATATTATTAATATAATATATTGATGGTTAATAATGGTCACTTTATATAGTATATATAATTAATTTTATATATTATAATCATACAAATTATGAAATATTTTATTAGTAAAGATTTTGTAATTTTTACGTGTGATTATTTATAATTAACAATTATTTTTTATCATTAATATGTATATATATATATATATATATATATATATATATATATATATATATTATGATACTATATAACTAATTTTACATAATATAATTTAAAATGAAGAAATATTTCATTAGATTATTTCGCATAACCTTCAGATATATACATATATATATATCAATAATATCTGTGTTTATCCAATAACAATAGTATTTCTTCTATTTTTCTAAATATAACATTCGAAGGTCATTGTTTAGAATTCTCACACCTCTAGACCTTGACTATTCCCTTTGATTAAATTTATTTTTCTCCGATAATTTAATTTAATTATTACATTCATTTAAATTAAGTTTTCAGATTGAAAATCATGCGTATAAATATAATATATGTTATTTTATTACCTATTAAAACTTTTTATTATAATTTTGAACTGTTTTCTCTCTTTGTTTCATCGACTCTTTATTTTTATTTATTTCTTTTTGTGATAAAACAAAGTAAAAAGAAGATTTTATTCGTTATTCATTTATTATCGTAAACAAATTATTTTATATTTGCTGTACAAATTTTCTGATCATATCGTTCTATTTTCTTTTTTCCTCTAACAGATCATGCTACGTCTTCTTCGCATATTACTATGTTGTATTTCCATTCTGCAAGTATTATCTGAAGGTAAGACTAAAAGGAAAAAAAACGAAAAGATAATGAATGAAAAAAGAAAAGAACTGTTAATATATTATTATGATTAACAATTTTAATTTTGAATTCAACGTGCGATTATATATATACATTGATATAATAACTGTCATAAAATTAATATTCATATATTAATTATTATAAGAATATACATATTATTTGTTTATTATTATACCGTACAATTTTGCTTACAATTACTTCCATCATTTTAATTTTTAATCTAGATTTTCAATGCCAAAAGCCAAAATGGTTCCAATGCGATAACGGGAGATGTATATCGTATCTTTTCGAATGCGACGGTGAAAACGATTGCGACGATCTATCAGACGAAAAGGATTGTTACAATTTCAAAGTAATCTATTTTTTTTTTTTTTTTTTTTTTTTTTTCCTTAATTCGCTTGTTAATATCTCTTTTTCTAACGTGTCTCTTACGTTTCCGCAGCTGAAGCCCCCGCCGGTAAATTGCAGCACAGAGGAATTTAAATGCACAGACAACACCTGTATACCGATCGAGAAATTTTGTGACATGCTGAACGATTGCAGCGATAACAGCGACGAATACGACGGTTGCATTAAAGATGTGGGCGAGAGAAACTATTATTCTTATTTTATAAATATCAAACACAGATACTTTTCTTTTTTTTACTTTATCTTCACGACAATCTTCTTCTATCTTTTTTTTCTCTTGTTTTTCTTTATACTCAAATTCATCTCAGAAACAATGTAAGAATTTCCGATGCAACGATGGCCATTGTGTGAGAAAAGAATGGGTTTGCGACGGGATGAAGGACTGTCCGGATGGTACCGATGAGATCAATTGCGGTCAGTATCTATATCCTTTTCTTTTTTTTTTTTTTTTTTTTTTTTTTTTTCTTTTTTTCATTTCATGTGTAAACAAAAAAGAAGAAGAAAATTTAATTGATTTAATTTTGTATCTGTACAGATGGCATATCTTTGCCGCCGAACGAATGCACCAATGAGAATGATCGTTATCTTTGCAAAAATCAACGATGTATCTCGATGAATCAAACATGTAATAAGAAAGATGATTGTGGTGATAATTCAGATGAAGATTTTGATGAGTGTACGAAATGTGAGTTTGATAAGAATAGATAAGAAGACAGAGAAACAAACTTTATTTAAAAAATTCAATCTTATTTATATTTTATTTTATTTTATTTTATAATATATTAATATAATCTATCTATTCATCTATCAGATGAAGTAAATAATACTTGTATATTAACAATTTAAATTTTATAGAGAATTTATTTAAAAAAAAAATTTTTGTTTTTAATTTTTAATTAATTAAAGTTTTTTTTTTCCTTTTTTTTTTTTTTTTAAATAAATTAATCAAGCTATTGAACGATCCTTGTTTGTGTTATTCTTTTCTCTTTTCCAACGAGCAATATTTCTCTTTTTTTCTTTCTTTATTTATTTATTCATTTAATTAATAGAAAATTGTTTATTATTTTCAGCTGAAAATCTCTGTTCACACGTTCAAAAATGTGAGCAAATATGCAGAAGAACACCGAGAGGTCCTGTTTGTTCCTGCCGGTCAGGTTACAAGTTAATAAACAATCGTACCTGCGAAGGTAAATTTATTGATAACGATATTAATAAAAAAAAGAAAAACAGAAAATTAAAAGGAACCAATCTAGTTGAAACATAATATGTAAAACAAATAAGTTTGATTAACAGATTCCATTATGTAATTTCAAAGGAATCGAATTAATTTACTTGTTTATCCATTCATTAATTTGCCTGTTTCTTTTAGATATAAACGAGTGTGAAATATTTGGAACTTGTTATCAACATTGTACAAACAATGACGGATCTTACATTTGTTCCTGCAATCCGGACTACAATTTGCAAGATGATAAAAAAAGTTGCAAAGCTGATGGTATGTTAAATTTCGAGAGAACAAATTATCCATAAAAATGATTCCATATTTAAATATTAAAAAGAATTTAACCATTTATTATAATTCATTTTAATTTCTAATTTTATTGATTATCTTTAAAAATCTATATTTATAATACCATTCACAAATAAGTATGGAATATTTAAAATTTGAATAATTTCATTTCATTTCATTTTATTTTATTTTATATAAAATTTATTTGTTATAAAGAAAAGAAACCTTCTTTTAGCAACTGGAGAAGCATTAATGTTTTTGGCCTCAAAGACGGAGATTCGTGGATATTATTTAGACTCAAAAATATATTATCCTATACTTAACAATTTGCAACACGCTGTTGGAATAGCTGTTGATGCAGTGAATTTTTATTGGACAGATGTTAATCGTGATGAAGAAGCTATATTTAAAAGTGATCAGTTTGGAACAAATAAAACGGTGATCGTTACTGCAGGTAATATAATAATATTTTCCATTGACAAAATATAATAAATAAATTAATAAATAAAATGTTTAATATGTATAGAATAAATAGTGATATCAGGACGTATATAAATTATATAAATTTTTGTTGTCTGTTTTATTCGAATTAAGGCGTGAGGACGCCAGAAGATGTAGCAGTCGATTGGGTAACTGGAAATATATACTTCACTGATAGTTCGTATAAACGTATTGGAGTATGCGATGAAAATGGAATATATTGTACAGTAGTGATCAAAGAAAATATAGAGAGACCAAGAGCTATAGTTCTTTCATCTAAATCTGGGTTACATTTTTGTCTTTTTTTTTTTCTTTAATTTCTTTTTAATCTTCAATTTATATACTCGCTTGTAAAAAAAATTAATCAAACTTTTTAAATTATATTTTTTCATATATTATAGAAAATGAACGTGGAAAGAAAATTTGTTAACATTGTTATTTTTCAGTATAATGTATTGGTCCGATTGGAGCTCGAATTCGCACATAGCGATGGCGTCGATGGATGGAAAAAATCATGTTAAATTTGTCAAGGATAATATTGATTGGCCAAATGGTTTAACGATTGATGATCCAAATGATAGATTGTATTGGGTCGATGCAAAATTAAAAATTATTGAGTCTATACGTTTGGATGGTAGAGATAGAAGAGTTAGTATTTCTACATTATAATACAGTAATAATACAGTAATAATTTTATTATTTATTAAGATGAACATAGTCATATTTTTATTGGATTAAAATTATATATTTCAGACAATTTTAACCGATTTGATAAACCATCCGTACTCTTTAGCAGTTTTTGAGAATAAATTATATTGGAATGATTGGTCCACGAACACCATACAAACCTGTGATAAATTCACTGGAAAGGATTGGAAAATTTTGCTTCATACGACTAGTATGACCTATGGGATTCAAATTTATCACTCTGTTCTTAAACCAAAAGTATATCAATCTTTTTTC